ATAAATAGTACTAGAATAATCCATAGAATAAAGAAGAATTTAGACCCTTGTTTCACATCATACACATAAATTAGCTCAAAATAGATCATAAAATTGGCTGTGGTTGTGGCTCAGTGGCACAGTGCTTGCCTAGCATGTGTAAGGCACTGGGTTCGATTCTCAGCACCACATATAAATAAATAAAGATCCATTGACAACTAAACAGTATTTTTTAAAAAATAGGTTATAAAATTAAAATTTAAGAGCTAAAACTATAAAACTTATGAAAGAAACAATGGAGAAAATCCTCAAGACATGGATTAGGCAAAGCTCTTACTCAAAACAACAAAATCATATCATAAAAAAAAAAACCAAAAAACTGGATTTCATCCAAATTAAAACTTGTGTGCTTCAAAAGTCCCTAATATTCAATTGAAGAAGAAAAGAGAGGGGCTGGGGTTGTAGCTCAGCGGTAGAGAGCTTGCCTAGCATGTGTGAGGCCCTGGGTTCAATCCTCAACACCACATAAAAATTAATTATTTAAAGAAAGAAAGAAAGTTATTGTGTCCATCTACAACTAAAAATATTTTTAAAAAAGAGGGCAGGGGGAGGGGCTAGGACTGTGGCTCAGCGGTAGAGCGCTGGCCTAACATGGGCTGGACCCGGGTTAGATCTTCAGCACCACATAAAAATAAAGGCATTGTGTTGTGTCCATCTACACCTAAAAAATAAATATTAAAAAAAAAAGGGCGGGGGGGAGAAGACCAATCACAGACTAGGAAGAAATATTTGCAAACAACATATCTAGTAAAGGACTTATCCAGAATATACTATGAACTCTTACAAGTCAGTAAGAAGTCATTCAACCCAACTTAAAAATGGACAAAAGATTTGAACAGCTATGTCACCAAAAGATATATGAATGGATAATAATCATATAAAAAGGTGCTCAACACTGTGAGTTATAAGGAAGTTTGAAATTAAAACAATGAGTTAACCACTTCATATCCACTCAGATAGCTATTAATAAGTGTTGTCAAGGATATGAAGAAAACTCGAATTCTCATATATTACTGTTAAAAATGTAAAGTGGTACAGTCACTTTGAGACACGGTATGGCAATTTCTTCAAAAGTTAAATATAGGGCTGGGGATATAGCTCAGTTGGTAGAGTGCTTGCCTTGCATGCACAAGGCCATGGGTTGGATTCCCAGCACCACCAAAAAAAAAAAAAAAATTTAAACATATGCCTGGCAGGTGCACTTGCCTGTAATCCCAGTGGCTGGGAAGGCTGAGGCTGAGGCTGAGGCAGGAGAATTCCAAGTTCAAAGCCAGCCTCAGCAACATAGCAAAGGCCTAAGCAGCAAGACTCTGTCTCAAAATAGAAAAATAAAGATACTGGGGATCTAGCTCAGTTGGTAGTGTGCTTACCTAGCATGTACAAGCCCTGGGTTCAATCCCCAGCATCACCAAAAAAATAAAAAATAAAAAGGGCTGGGGATGTAGTTAAGTGGTTAAGCACCTCTGGGTTCAATCCCTGGTACCAAAAAAAAAAAAAAAAATGTTAAACGTTTCAAAGTAGTTCTACTCCCAGGTATATACCCAAGAAAAACAAAATCATATATCCACATTAAGACTTAAATGTTCAGGAAGCATTATTTAAAATGTTCAAAAACTTAAAACAATCCAAATATCTATCAACTGATTTAACAAATACCAAAAAGAGGTATATCCATACCAAAAAAAAAAAAATTACTATTTGGCAATACTAATACATGCTACAATATAGATGAATCGAAAAACATGCAAAGCGAAAAAAAATCAGATGTAAAAGACTATATATTGCATAATTCCATCATATGAAATACCCAGAAAAAGCAAATAAATCTATGGAGACAGAACAATTGGTGCTTGCCTAGGGATGAAAGATGAGGGGAATGAGAAATAACTGCAACAGGCCAGAGAGAACTTTTAGAAGTAAAATGTTCTAAAATAGACTTATGATAGTTTCTGAATTCTGTGTATTTACTAAAAATATTTAATCATACTCTCAAAATGAATGAATTTTGGCTTTTAATTAAGTTGAAAACCTAATTTCTTTAAAGTGTACACTCCCAAGAGAAATGAAAACATGTTCACCAGAAAAAAAACAAACTGTACACAAACATCCACAGCATTATTCATAATAAAAAAGTAAAAAAAAAAAAAAAAAAAAAAAACTCAAATGTTAATCAAATGAAGAATGGGTAAACACAATAAAGTACATTTATACAATGAACATTATTCAGCAATAAAAAGAAGTACTGACACATGCTACAATATGCATAAATTTTGAAAACACTATGAAAGAAGCCAGTCACAAAAGACAACATATTGTACAGTTTCATTTTTATGAAATTTCCAGTACAGGCAAATCTATAGATAGAAAGTAGATGAGTGGTTCCCTAAGACTGGGAGTGTTGGGTAGAAATGGTGACTGCTAATGAAAGTAGCATTCTTTCTGAGAGTGATAAACATGTTCTAAAACTGTTGAAGTTAATGGTTGCACAACTCTGTGAATATACTAAAAACCACTTAACTGTATACTTTAAATCAAACTGAATGGTATGTGAATTATATCTCAACAAAGCTGTTACCTCTCCCCCCAAAAAAGGTATTGAACTGTGAGCAGGTAAAACCATCAACACTGGCAGGGCCTACCACACCCTACGACAACTGAGGATACTTAGGACAGAAAAATACCAGTTTGAAACTCTTTCCAACTACACTCAAGCTAATTATTTTCTAAGTGAGTGTTTATATCCTAAATGAGGTACAATGATTAATCCAAGTATTCAGCTAAGTTTAAAAACAGGATAATATTAAATATTCGAATTTCACATGCCCAAGGTATTTCAATTTTTACTTCATGTGTTTAACTACTAGATGTCTCAATTATATTCATATGAATGCACTCTGTAAATTGTATTGTCTTATGTAAACTTTAATTATTCTTAAATTCCCTTAAATATAATTATTTTCCACTCATTAAAGTTATTCTACCTTTTGAAGAAACTCTAAAACACGCTATCCATAGCTACCTCAGTAAACCAGACCTTCTGTGATCCTGGCACTAGATAAAGTACATAATTCGCCTCTCGACAGAGACTCGAATAAAAAGCAAAGCAAATCTGATACCAAACGCAGATACGGTTCTCTCATCACCGGATTAAAATTTAAACCACACAGGTCAAGTAAATGTTCAAAACACAAGAAAGAGGGGGTTCAGTTTTACAATGAGGTGTCCCCATCTTAGTACTCATTTAATGAAGTACTAAGAACTTAAAGGCTATTCTGCCGGGCATCTGGCTCCTACAAAGACAGCCCAGGACGCTGGCACACCAGGAACACTGAAACTGTGCGATCTGGATCCCTCCTGGCGCTATGGAATATTTTCTGTCCTTTACTGACGGATAAAAAACGCCCCAGCGGAGCGAGGGGGGCCGGCTGCCCCGCGCGCAGCGCGGCGGGGCCAGCGGGTCCGCAGCCGGCAGAGCCCGGCCGTCCCCCTGGCGCGCCCCCACGACACTCCAGAGCGCGGTCCCCGAGGGCCAGCTCCGCCAGCAAAGGACCCAGAAGGCGGTCACTGGACGTGCGTGTCACTGAGCCCGTTTTTGTTTTGTTTAAAACAGATTCCGAGCACAGGCAAGCCTCCCTACCCCCGGGAATAGGGGGAGCTGGCAGCAGGGGGCCGGCGTGGAGAGCGAGAATAAAAGAACGGTCGAGTACAACCTGTCGTGCCAGCCGGCGGCGGAGGCGAGGGAAGGTACGGGGCGGCGATCAGGCCCGACGGGGAAGGAAACTGCTGTCCAGCCCTCCCGCCGCCCCGAGCGGCCGGAGCCTCCAGGTCCCGCCCCGAGCTCGCCGCCCAGCCCCGGCGCCGGCCGCAGCCTCCCGCCGACACAGACCCTCCCAGGACGCGCTTCCTCCAGAGCCGGACCCCCGCCCTGGCCTCCCCGGGAGCCGAGGCGGGTCAGTGCAGTCCGCTCCTCGGCAGAGGTGACTCTGGCCGAGATGTAAACACAGCGCGACCAGCTGCGCGGGCCCATCCCCCCCCCACCGGGGTCCGTAACCCCGTCCCAGCCCCGAGCCCCGCGCTCCCCGCGGGCAGGCGCGCAGCGCGCCTTCGCCTTTCTCCAAGTCCCGCTCCCGACCGTTGCCCGGGGCGCTCGGCCCCCTTCCCCCAGTCCCCGGCCGGTGTCACCGCCACAGCCTCCGGAAAACCCCTCCGCAAAGCCGGGAGCAAACAACACAGGCGCGGGGCGGGGGCGCGGAGGGAGGCGGCGGCACTCAGGACGGCCAGGCTTTATCGCCGCGCCCTTCGCGCTCCCTCTCGCCAGCCTCAGCGGCCCGCGCTCTTACCTGCTCTCCACGTCGCCGGGAAGACCGCGGCGTCCCTTTCCCTCCCAGCAGGGCCGCGGACTAGCCGCTGCTGCCGCCGCCTTTGGCCGGGCGTCCTGAGGGAGCCGGGGCCTCCCCGGCAGCCCGAGCCGCTCCACAGGGAGAGGAGACAAAACAGAGGCGCGCCGCCCGCGCAGCGCCCCCCGCCCGCGCCGCCCCACCGACTCCCAACCGCCGCGGCGACGGCGGCGACACAGAGCCCGGCGCGGGGAGCACTGGTGGCCCCCGCCCCGCTCCCGGCCCCCTCCCTCCACCCCCGCTCGGCTCCTCCCCTTCGGCCTCCTGCCGCCGCCACCAGGACACTTGAGTCCGCCTCCCCCACCCCGCCCGCTCCGGGCGCTCCTCCCTCCCCACGCGGCGGGGGGGCGGCACCGCCAGTCACCGCAGCGCCTGTCAAACGCGGGCCGGCTATTTATACCCCGCGGGGCCCCACCGCCCCGGCTCCCGGCTCCCGCCTGCCAACCGAGCCTGCCCCTCGCGCTCTCGAATCCCGCCCTCCCCTCGTCGCCCAACTTCTCCCAAACCCGGCTTCTCAGGTAAAGACGCTCGCCCCTAGTCCTGCCCCTGGGGGTATCCCCATACCGCTCTCGGCTCCCCGCTTCGACCCCGGACTGCTGCGGGGGCTCTGCCGCGCGGGGCAGGCGCGTGGGGACGGCGGGGCCGCGCGTGCACCTGCAGCTCCCGCCCGCTTCTCCCCGCCGGCCGGGACGGCACGCACACTCCCTCGCCACTCTCGGAGCCCTCCGCGGGCCCGCCTGTCACCCCCATCCCCAACTCGGGACTCCCGCCTTTCTCCTCAGGGGACTCCGCACTGGGGCAGTCTGACAGTGCCAAGGGTTGCAAAAACTCCAGCCCGTGTTCTCCGGGTCCCCGCTCCCAGCCTCTGCTAAGTGAAAGGTGGGGGCGCGGGCGGGCAGGAGCGCGACGCCGGCCCCGCCCCGGCCGCTGACGCACGTGGCGCACCGCCCCGGCAGCCTCGCGCCCCTCGGCGCCGCCGCTCCTCCCCGCTCGCAAACGCCCGGCCTTGTACACCCGCGGACCCCGCCCCGTTCCCAGAAATTACCACCCGCCCAACGGCCCGGCCGCGCGGCGGTTGGTGCCYGCTTTTGCTGGCGGTCGGGCAGCGGGGCCCAGCGCGCAGCTGCGGAGCGCGGCGGGCGGCCCCTCGCGCTGCCCCGGGAGCCCGGCACCCGCACCTAGCCTTTGTCGCTCCTCTCCCCGTCAGCGACGGAGAAGTAACTCTAGCCCCAGTATCGATGCGAGAACGAGGGAGTGTATTGGCGAAGGAGTCTTTTGGCCCAAGTGCCTGCGAATTCGAAAACGAAAACCCAGCAGAAGCTGCACGCTTCTGGTTTCCACACTTTCACACAAAGGGGAACCTCTGCGCAGGGCGCACTCACGCGCCTTCAAGTGCACAAAAGCCAATGACACGGTACCCTCGCCGGTCCTGCGTTGCGAGCGTCTCATTAATGGCCTTTCTGAGGCATGGTTATGCAGACAAACCCTACTATATGGTCCACCATTCCCCGCTGCCGCGTTTTCTTGTATTTGTTTCTTTAACAAAGAGCACTGACTGTCCCGGGGCGCGCGGGGACTGACTCGGCTCCCCTTTCGGGCGCTGGCAGCCTCCCTGCGAGGGACCCGGTGCTTGGCGCAGCATTCACCACGTTTGCTTCTGGGCTCCAGTCTTTCTCCTTTTACTGTTTCACGGTCAATTTTGAACGTAGAAGAAACCCTGAGCGGTATGAGTTATAGCTGAACTTGAAAGGAACGTGGGAACCACGGAAATTACTCTAGAGTAAGGCTCAAAGGTCAGAGAACCACAAGAGGCTCCACTGTTTTTTAAATCCCTGAAGAATCAAGAATTTAATAATCTCTTTTTAAAGTTGTTATTGCCTTTCTGTTTACATCGTGGTGAATCTTCCTTTCTTAAGCAGCCCTGGGGGTTCTTGTTCTTATTTAGGAGATTTTTACTCTTAAAATGCAGGGGAAACCTGGGTAGCATGATAGCTAATCAGAGATCCTCTTAGCTCCGATAGAGTTTTGTGAATTCCTGAGTTCTAAGACATGCAACCATTGCCACCCGTTAGAACCAAAGAATTTATGGAGCTTTGATAACATTGAAAACTTTAAGGCACAGTAAACAAAGTGCTGCAAATGGCATTCTTTCTAGGGCACTATTTTTATCCCCCATTTCTTGCAGAGTAGATTATCATTTCCGGGAGCCATTGCCCACTTGGATGTTTGCTAGTAATAGTCATTACTACTGCATCTGCATAACACTAAGAAACATGCAAGGACAAAGCTTGATTCCTGAAGTAAGGCGAAGCTCTTACCTGCTGGGTCATATCTTTCCTATTAGCCACCTTGAGAAGAAATGTATCTCAGTGCCAATTGGAAGTAACCTGGGAAGTCCCAGGCTGATACCATTGGTAGATATTATTGTTCCCAAATTCTCACTCTCCATGCCTTCATGCACTTTGTGAATTCATTCACTTTTGTGAATTCCTGATTTCTAGTTCCTTCCATTAGAGATAGAATGAATCTCCACCCTGTTGATGTTGGGTTTAGATCATTTTACTTGCTTTTGGCCAAAGAAGTAGGGGAGAAGTGACAGTGTAATGGTTGTGGACCTGGCCTGAGGGTGTGTTACAGGTTTCTGCTTGCCTCACTGGCACTCCTGCCTCTCACAATGTGAAGAACATGTCTGGGGAATCTGCTGGTCCAAGAAGGATGAGACACCTGGAACAGGTCTGGAACCACCCCAGTGTGTTGCCAGCAACCAGTAGAATACAGGATGTTTTGTAAGCCTTGTGTTTTGGGGTACTCTTCCCAGGATTAGTGTTGCAGTTGCTGACAGAATAGCAGAGCAATCTATCTTCATTTACTCTACTTTTTTACTAAATGAGACCCTTGATATTGGCCTTCAGGGTGCCAAACTTGATATCTCTGGCACAGCTCCTTAGTAGTGAGTGGGTCTTAGACACATGCCTGTGGAAGCAGGCCAAATAAGAAACCCAGAGGTTTGCAGTAGTCCTCAAAAGTTCTTATATAAGTCAGTAAGAAAGGTCCAGTGTGGCCAGAAGTCCCAGTAGCATGCTAAGGATCATAGAACACATTTCCATGTGGTAAATGGATTTCTTTTGCCTTTGTTTTTGTTCATTTGATTTGGTAGTTTGGTTTGCTTTGAGTTTTTAGAGTTTTGGGATATCTTTGTATTTTCTATCACATAATTTATTTCATAATTATGCACATGATTCATTAATACATTCTCATATTTTTTTTGTACCAGGCACTGAACCCAGGGGCAATTAACCACAGAGCCAAATTCCTAGCCCCTTTTTATATTTTATTTAGAGACAGGGTCTCACAGAGTTCTTTAGGGCCTCACTAAGTTTCTGAGGCTGGCTTTGAATTCACAGTCTTCCTACTTCAGCTTCCTGAGCCACTGGGATTACAGGAATGTGCCATGGTGCCCAGCTCATCAATGTTCAAGTAACACAAAATAAACTTTTTTAAAATTTCCAAGTCCCCTTTCCCTCTATGCTTCTCTTTCCATTCCTCACTTAATCCTTCATATGTTGCTGGCCATCCCATACCTCTCCTCTTTAACAGATAACCATAAATGGTTTAACTTGTATGTTTTTAGACTTTTTTTCTTGGGCATTTATATACATATAGAAACACTTGTACAAATTAGATATGAATGGGATTACATAATATATATAAAATGGTAGAATTATTTATCCTTTTTTTCTATGTTCATTTCATCTTTGTTCTAATTATATAGGAAATTCTTTTTAAAAATCTGGCCTGTCTTCAGTGTGACAGGCTAGCCAAAGGAAGAGGTTTTTCTGCTTTTATATCAAAATGTTAAAAGGTCCCAGCGGCTTGGGAGGCTGAGACAGGAGGATCATGGATTCAGAGCCAGCCTCAGCAACAGCAAATCACTAAGCAACTCAGTAAGACCCTATCTCTAAATAAAATAGGACTAGGGATGTGACTCGGTGTTGAGTGTCCCTGAATTCGATCCCCAGTACCCAAAAAAAGTAAAAGAAAAAAATAAAAGGGAGGAATACCCTTTAGGACCTTGTAGTTGTGGCAGAGGCAACCAACA